GGTTATTACAAGTCAAAGGTTATTACAAGTCAAGGGTTACTATAAGTCAGGGTGAGGGTGTGGGTGAAGGGGGGTGATGGGGGGTTAGGGTTACTGGAAGRCATGGGGAGGAGGGAGGGGGATAGTTACGGTAAATCAAAAGAGGAAGGAAGTCACCGGAAGTTGACCATATATGGACATGACGGATGTCCCGCCCTAAGGGGCGTGGCACCTGTCACTTGACGAATGCATGTGTATATTTTCTCTAACCATGCATTAAGGACAAATAAAGTACCTTTACCTTTATATTAAAATTTATTACTTACAAACTGGAAATACCTTTAGCCAATTCAAACATACAGGAGGTTTCTGAGTGAAATGCTTAGTTGCACATGTTATCTACAGTATTTGTCTTAACAAAAATAATATTCAAACCAACAATTGTGTCAAATTTAGATGAACAGGTTCAATATGTATATTTTCTTACACTCTTTTCTGTCTTACATTCTAGTCACACATTTTTAATGTCACAAACAGGAACTTTTCAATAAACCTAATCAGGTGGCACCTGCTACCCCTCTGGCTCCGCCCCCGGTCAAAAAGAGCATTTGTTGAGAAACAGTTGATAAACTTATGTGTCAGTTTGCTTCATGTGGTGACCCCTGCAGAAGGGAGCAGCTGAAACAGGAAAAAAGAGAAAAAATTGTTTGGAATTTCATGTTACTGTAATGACACTCTTCTGCATTTATTTTTCTAGCTTTTAGTTTGTTATTCAACAGCATCCGTTTCATTTCTGAGAAATTTGTCATCCTCAACTTAGTTTGAATAATACTGTTTTATTTTGCTTCAAGGTGCAATTATTTGTCCAAATAGATTCCGTGATCAAAGAGCCTGGGATGGTTTTTCATCAACTGCACCAGAAGATTTGAACAATTCCTGCCAGCAGAAACAAACTGATTTTCTGCAGTAACTAAGCTACAGACAGAAAACACAGCTGTGCTGATCAGCAGGTAAGATGTCATTTTTTCATAACTTTCCCACAGAACCTCACTTGAATGTTTTGAAAATTGTTTTAGCTGCAGGTCTTTGAAAAATTMATTTACAGATCTTGTAAGAGGATTTTAGTTCTGCCTCTTCAAACGCCCACTGACCTTCTTTGAATTATGATTACAGAAACAGTCTCTTTGTGTCGTTTTAAGTGGTGTTACTCGTGAGAAACTTACTATAATACCTACAAAGAGCCTTTATTCAGGTAAATTAAAGGAAATGTTCAGTTAATTTAATGTAGCCACTTCAGCTACACCTCAGATAGGTGGACTTTATTATTTGTCTTATTTTTCATGTATATTCAACAGCTGACATCTTTGTAGGCATTGGCAGTCAGCCTCGTTCTTGGCAGGCTGCATCTGTCAGCAAAGTCATTAATGCAAATATGACACATCACAGAAATGCATGTACTGTGGTAATCAAATTAGTGGTGCTCACCATATGTTACAAATATCTGACATCCTTATACAGAGCGCAGAGCGCTATTGTAACATCTCTTTTTTTATTATTCTATAATTTGATTTTCTGTATTTTTCTTCTGGGACAGCTGTGCTTTACATCCTGGTATCAGGTGTGAAATGAGATAAGGCCCAGATATTTCTGCCTACCAAAATGACTGAGCACTAGTCTCGACAGAAAGACAGAAAGCACAGTTGGTTTTAGACATTTTTGTAAAAAGAAGAGGAAAGTCTATGAGTCACTGTGTGCCTACAGACACAAGCTCAGCTCATCAGTTTGAGCTGAAAGTCTTAGACATATTTAAACTAGAACACTTCATGGATGTACTTATATACTCACTACTATTATAAAATTACAGCAAATTATCAGTAAGAAAGCACAGTAGAGAGTAAAATTAAAACATCACAAGATTTCTTGTCAAGTAGATAGCTGTCTTAAAAAAMCCCAAAAGTTTTTCCATCTGATGACTTTATCAGGTGAAATTAGTACTGAAGATGTTTCCTCTTTAAAACATTTGTGGAGGAGCAGTTCACGTCAGGCGCAAATCCCTAAAGTTGTGTAGTGAAAGCAGCCGCTCTCACTACTTTAATCCTGAAGCTACACATTTATTTAAAACAGAAAAAAGCACAATTTAAAAATGCTTTAGTTTGTCAACTTCGAATTGAAAAAATGAAGGTTGAGCCTCTCGTTAATGAAAGCTGAGAGGAAAAGAGCTGATCAAACTTTGAGGTGGAGGTCAAACTATATTTGACAATTATTTCAAATTATGAAAAAGTCAAGTAGTTCAGTGTTCTCTGAGAGTATTAGCTACGTATCACTGTGTTGAAAGTAATAAAAATCACAAGCCCTGTTTCTATCAATGTTTTTATCATATTACAAAAGGTTAATGTAAACCAGTGGTGTATAGTACGGTGTATATATACAATTACTTTGTTACAGTATTTAAGTTTTTTTTTGAGGACTTCTAAAATTTACTGTTATTTTGTTACATTAAAAACATAAAAATGAAACTTATACTTCTTTACTTTAAAGTGTAACACGTAGTCATGTTGATGTGTGGTTTCGGCAAATTGTTGACAATTGACAACCAATGGACAAAAACCCTGAAAAGTGTGCCGCGGATCTGACAGGATGTCATTGTAAAGCAACTGTTGACGGGGACCGCCGTGTTAAAGAAGACGATCACCAAAACAATGAAGTCAGCGAGAGCTATCTTGTTTTTCAAAGATGGCCACGTTCATATTGTTGGCGTTTGTGGCACTGCTGACGATAGTGTTTGTGTTGGCACTGTTGTCGTACATGCTAAAGTCAAAGCACGTATGAAGCAGCAGAACTATAGAGTGTTTATTGCAGTGATGGTGAAACTCTTCAGGCCTTTTGTGAAAGCCCAGCAGGGTAAGTTAGTTGTTCTTGTCTTGTTTTCATCAAACGTTTGACTCTAGAGTCAGAATCAAACATTTGTGTCAATGACATAGAACTTCTCACACCAAAACTGGCTGAACTTTAGACTGAGTTTGTGTTTATTATTTATGTTTACACACTTTACTGTTTTTCGTCAAAGTCCTGATGACAAAATGCACTGAGCCACAGCTTTCATCTTGTAGTAGCTTTGCTCGACTTTCCTAAAGGAATTTGGTAATCTAAAATGAACTTTTACTCGGTCACGTTGCCTCGAGCAATTATACACACTACAAAAGTCACCTTTACCCATTGCTATTGTTGGAAGGAATGTAAACATTCAACTTGAATGGTAAATGATCCCCGTTACTTCCGGTGAATGCACTAAAACAGTGTGTGTGCCTGCATTATGACCAGGCTATGAAAACACTTTGCATAGCCTGGATGATTCACTCCAAACCAGTAGATGGAAACATACATAATTCACATTTCGGTTTTATTTTTTACAACACTTTAAAGGGCAATATTATGTGTTCCTCAGGCAAATATTTAAATTCTATACCGTAATAAAGTATCAATGTGACCTTTAGTTGTTATCAATACGCTGTTTTCATGTTTAAATAGAAAACTAGACACAAATAGTGGTAACACAATGAGCACCGCACACACAAACGCACCAGAACTCTCATGTGAGGTGCAGGCAGGGACAAATCCAGGGTGCGGGCAAAGATCCAAAGTTTAACAAAAGATTTATTAATTAAACAAAAAGGCTGGCAGGGCAGCTCAAAAACTCTCACAGGAACAGGGACACAGAGAGCACCACAGTGGCTGGGTAAAACAGCACAATGATCGGACAAACACTGAAGACAGGACACAGAATATAAAGGCAAAATAATTAGGGCAACAAGACACGCCTGGAGCAGACACAAGAGGACACAGGTGAGAGAGGTCGGGGCTGCAGGGCAGAGAAACACAGGGGAACAGTGAAAACACTAGTAAACTAAGGAAAATAAACACAGACCATGACAGGACCCTCCACTTAACGACGGCTCCCGACGTCGAAAAGAGGAGATGGACGAGACACAGGAAAACATGACAACACAGACTCAAGGACAAAACACCACAAAGTTCAGAAGGACGGCCAAGAGACCACCCCACACGGAGCAGGACATCCAGGGGATGGCTCAGGAAGCCCCCCAGGTCCACGGGAGTCCTAAAGGTGGGGGCGGAGCCCAGGGAGGAAACAGGAGCAGATGAGGAGCCAGCGGAGGTTGCCGGAGCCAGAATGCTAGTGAYGGCGAACACAGGCAACAGAGGCGATGAGGAGGCGATGGGTGATGACCCAGGCGATAAGGAGGTGATGGGTGACGAGGAAGTGACAGGTGACGACCCAGGCAATGAGGAGGAGGCGGGTGACGACCCAGGCAATGAGGAGGAGGCGGGTGACGGCCCAGGCGATGAGGAGGAGGTAGTTGACGACCCAGGCGATGAGGAGGAGGCGGGTGACGGCCCAGGCGATGAGGAGGAGGTAGTTGACGACGCAGGCGATGAGGAGGAGGCGGGTGACGACCCAGGCGATGAGCAGGAGGCGGGTGACGGCCCAGGCGATGAGGAGGAGGCAGTTGGCGACCCAGGCGATGAGGAGGAGGCGGGTGACGACCCAGGCGATGAGGAGGAGGCGGGTGACGACCCAGGCGATGAGGAGGAGGCGGGTGACGGCCCAGGTGATGAGAAGGAGGCGGGTGACGGCCCAGGCGATGAGGAGGAGGCGGGTGACGACCCAGGCGATGAGGAGGAGGCGGGTGACGACCCAGGCGATGAGGAGGAGGCGGGTGATGACCCAGGCAAGGAGGAGGAGGCGGGTGACGACCCAGGCAAAGAGGAGGTGGCGGGTGACGACCCAGGCAATGAGGAGGAGGCGGGTGATGACCCAGGCAAGGAGGAGGAAGAGGGTGACGGCCCAGGCGATGAGGAGGAAGCGGGTGATGGCCCAGGCGATGAGAAGGAGGCGGGTGACGACCCAGGCAATAAGGAGGAGGCGATGGCGGTCGACCCTCGAGCCACCAGAACCGCTGGGACCTCTGACTCAGGAACCTCCAACTCCGGGACCGCCGAGACCTCCGACTCAAGAACCTCCAACTCCGGGACC